ATATGTAGTACCTTGGAAGTACTTAAAAAAAAGTATATATAGATAAGTCTGTGTTGCCTTGTGACACAAAAGTTTTAACTACCAGCTGAAGTTCGTTTATTCTATCTTTCATTTTATTTTTCAACAACAATTTATTCGGTAATAATATTATTGTGTGTGATGGACCTTCTAAACAGACCATGTAATGAGATGGTGGTGCTGGTGAGAGAAGACTGACCCATAAAGTCTCATAACCCAGTACCTTAAATCAATAACTAATAGTTATTAAATCTAATCTGCTCTGTGTTGCTGATGAAAACACTAATAAATTGTATGCAGGTTCTTACCTCATGTTGCTTACCTAACCTATATTATCATATGGATTCTGCTGTTATCTGGTGCATGTAAATAAACTCAGAGAAAAGACTCTTACCATCAGCTGGAAGCAACAAACTATACTTCTGGTACTTTATTGTTAAAACCTGTATTTTATTTACTATTTGTGAATTTCATCAATCTGACCAATTATTCTTTACAGAGTTTGTAACAGAGCAAAGTCAACAAGGCAAAAGGTCAACTTACACCAAAGATGTCTGCTGTGTTTACCTCCAACAACTCTGTGATGTTTATGGTCCAGTGTCGAGGATGAAATATGGAAATATGTGCAGCCAAAAGCCTGTTTAGCTTTTACTGTTTATCATAAATTAGGGGCTTGAAGCTTCCTCTTATTTGATGTGAGATTTGTTTGGGCAGCATGAAAGTCTGAGACAGAACCTGAGAGCAGGTGTGTCGTGCAAAAAGCGTGAGAGCTTTCAACCCCAGTTAGATTAGCGATTAGTGAGCTTTTAGATGAGGCAACCCCACAACCAGACTTTATTCTGAGATAACTCTATGTCCTCTACCCTCACCTGCACATTACTGCCTTCTTATTATTCTTATTTAAAAGCAAAAACAAATGAGTAAAAGTAAAATGCACAGGCCTGATGACACCATTCCACCTCAGTTGTTGTTTTTCATTTTAAAACTCTCTGGTCTGTGCACCTGCTTTTCCAGAACTATGTCAATGTGGTTAACCGGATGTGACCTACAGCGAAAAAGAAATTATAAAAAACCACAATCAGACTTTGACTTAAAGCTAAGTTCTGATTGGTGGACAGGAGGATGTGACTGTGAGTGGATTTAAACTTTAATAAAATGATGCCTTGAAGATTAGTTTATGCACATAAGTTACAGCCCTTATAGATTTTCTTTAGTCTTACATTTTTAAATTCATTGTAAATGAAAGATTTAATCCATGATATTGTTTTATGTTTCATTTCAGCTATGCAGCACAAAGATGTTGATAATAGTGTAAATGGGTCACTCATTAAAAACAGGCTCCACTCTAAAAAGTAATTCAGTGGCTTTGTGTATATCACAGTGAGAAACAGCTGCACTGCCGTAATAAAATCTCTGGAACACATTCAGTTGATTGTTTGAGTTGGAGATACCAAATGAACTGCCTAAAAATTTAACAGGTAATTGTATGTTAACTTTACATTTATTATTTAAGTTTATTTCATTGAAATAAATTTGCATTCGGTTAACAAATTATATTTTTGAAATGTCCTTAATTTGTTTGGTAAATTTCATTCAGAATATTTGGAAAGGCCTAATTATACTTATCAGTGTCAGTAACTGCAGTTATTACTTATTCAAAATCAATCATCTTAATCTTCTTATGTGACTTATTACTTTGAGTAAGTTTCACTTGAATGTGAACGCCCTCAGTCGCACGCAAAGAGTGCAGCCTCACGGGAAATCTGACTTTGTGCCTGGCCATTTCTTGACCGGGACTCCTGCTGGAAACTTCCCTTCTGTGAGAGCAACTGGAAGACCATCTCTCACAGCACGGTAAGTAGGAAGCTAGCAAGCCTTAATATTGTTATGAAGTTATTAATTACTCTGTCTTCTTGCATACATAACTTATAGGGTGTAATCTCCGAATGCAGTTGCAGCCTGCTGATGTGTGTATACTGGTGTACAACTGACTGACAGAAAATAACCTACAACTACTAAAATTGTTGTTTTTCAGGCAATAATGCCAGAAAATGACGAGATCAAGCTTCTAAAATGTGAAGATTTGATGGTTTTTCTAAATGATAGTAATGTAAATATATATATACAAAGGTGTGTTTTAAATTCTGGTTGAATATATCATCTCAAGCATCTGTTCAATTCTGCAAACATTTATCTTTTTTTTCTCTCTCTCTGACAGTTTACAGACATCTTACAATAAATGAAGAAACCAGCAGGTAGATCCAGTGTTAATGCCCCAAAATGCAGATTTTCAATTTGTGTTTACTGCAGAGGAGAGCAAACATTTTTTTGATGCCAGTGAGCCAAAACATTACAAAAATGTGTGTCCAAGAGGTTTCTGGCAGAGGCCAAGTCAAGAGTGTCAGTATAAGAGTTTTCCTGCTGCGGCTTTGAGAGGTGAAGTGCAGGTCACAGGAAGCTATAAGGAGCTGAAGGCCAAAGTCATACCAGTTGCTCAGACAGTAGGACCAGACGAAGACTAAACAGGTTGTCAGCAGAGAGACAGGCTGAAGACAACTTGAAAGGATATTTTGGCTTTGAAGAAACCTGGTTTAATTTATATTGTGTGATCCTACGACATGTTTGTCATCAGAATCATTTTTCTTTTTCTTTTTTTTGTACTGATATTCCTTAAATGTTTGCACCATCCTCATTGCAAATGTCCCCACTGTGTGATTACTGAAGGCTTATCTTATCTCTCCTATCTCCTCTCTTATCTTTATTTTTTTCTAGTATACGACTACAGCCCAAAATGAGAGTTACGCCTCTTGGTACTGGGTGAGGCCCAGAACTTTTTGAAGTACCTGCTGTGTACCTTTACATAAGCAGGACGAGGTCATCCGAAGCCCAAAATGTGACTTGTGAGCGCAGCAATCTTCCACTGAGATAACAAATAACGACTGATGCCTGTCTGTAGGAACATAAGCAAAGGAATGAGCTTTCATTCCAGGATATTTGGATCTTAGGTGTGACAACAGACGCGTCAGGATAAAGTCCAACCAATTGCACAAGAGTTGCAACCTGAGCGACATCCTGCACGGAGGCATTTAGCTCCATGTAGTGAAGCTGCTGCACCAGTAGGAGGCTCCCGTGTTTCAGCCATCGTTGCCTGTTGACCACGTCTTTGCTTGTGTCGTAACCCTGGCTGTCCTCGCTGATACTTGGACAGAGCAAAGCGCTGTTTCATATTCATTTCATTTATCATTTTCGACCTGCTTGCAGAGAAACACATCAAAAGTCTCTTTAGTTTCTAACATTTAGCAGCTTTGTGAAGCTCAGGTTGTGTCTTTGATGCACCTCATCACTGTTTTTACATAAATACGACGCTGTGATTGAGATAAATTTGATTTAACACAATCATATGCTTTTTGTGAAGCATTAAGTATTTGTCATTTAACCTTATTTCCTGATTTTAATGGACGTTTTGTTAACAAACTGCTGCTGCTTCTTGTGGTCTTTCATAGAGATGTTGTGAACACCATACTTTGATATATGACAGTATTTAAAATATCATTATACTCCCATTGTATTTCAGCTTCCCATATATCAATCAGCCCTATTGAAACATGTCTGGTCTCTACGTGACTTATCACAGGGCCCGTCCGGCTCTCAGCAGTCAGAAAAAAAACAACCAGTGACAGCGAGACAAGCCTCCAGACTGACCTTTGAGGGGTTTTTTTATACACTTAATCACCAAATTAATCAGCAGAATCGCTGCCAGACGTATGATTCAAAGAGATATAAAGTAGATTGCAGATGGAGGAGAGTTTGGCACGCGTTAAACAGATAAAGTTACGGGAAAGAAAGCACGCGGCTTAAAGGCGAGAAATCGTAAACCATTCGACGGCACACTCAGTGTACATTAACCCCAGAGTTAGCGATAAGGCCGAGGTAATAAGGTGTGCTAATGACTTACAGGCCTTATGAGAAAGTGTTTGTTTTTCATTCGACGGTTCTCAACAAAACCTCAGTTAAAGGTGTTTAACGAAATAAACGAGAAATCTGTTTTTTTAGGATTATCAAGACAAACAGCAAAACCACTAGAGGGAAGTAAAGAGAGTCAGACGGTGTGTTTTGAGCGATTCACAGCCCTTCTTCCCTGAGATGCTTTTATTCATTAACACCTAAGACAACATACAGTAAGGTGGATCGATCGAAGACGCGACGTGGACTTTGAGCGCACGTCAAGAGAAAACACAGTTTAAAGAAGAAGGAGGCAGCACATGCAGCAATTATGAAGGATTTTGCTGGTATTTTGACGGCCAAGTTCTCTCTCTTTATGACTGAAAGCAGACTCCTGAATTACATTTCTGTTTCACATCACATACATGCAAACTAGAGAGTCCATGAGACAATAAAGAAGCATTTATGTGGGTGAGTTAGAATGAAATGTACATTATAAGGATAAATATGTACGTGCAGGTAATCCTCAAGAAGTTGTGGCTTATATCCCAAATCAGGAACTTCCACTACAACAATCTCTGTTCAAGTGAAGACAAGTGTGAGTTAACTTTCAGCTGTTTTAATTTACATAGCCTCAATCATCATGTCAATATTCACAAAAGCAGCAAAAGTGAGAACGAAGAAGAAAGATCTACAAATGTGGAGGAGGAGGGGGTCAGAACAACGACTAGCATACAAAGGTGTGAATATTTATGCACTTATTTAACATGTTTTAAGTGTAATATGCGTTAATATATTACAATATAGCTTACTAAGTAACTTCAGTGGTAAAAAAAAAATACCAGGAAAAGTTATCAGGCATTGCGGTTTCTTTACAAAAATATACAATATGTCCTGGATGAGGTGTGTAGCCACACACAGCATAAAGTACACATAGTGGTAGAGAGCGCAGAAAGGTACACAAGTGCATTGTCTTAATATTTAATAGCTACTGGCTGCTTGTTTTGGTCATAAATTAATATTAATATAATATCTTATCACTGAAATATAAGTTAAATTTTTCCAAAGAGGGATTTGAAGTCCTTGAGTTTCTTTAACCGAAGTAGCCGTGGCAGAAAACGGCCACGCACAGGAGGATGAGGGCGTTGGCGTTGACGATGTTCCTCCACAGCGGCTTCTCCGAGGTGTCCGTCAGCTTCCTCTGCAGCTCCTCTTCCTCCTCTTTGGTCAGCTTGGGAGCCTTTTCCTCTTCCAGTCCGCAGAAGCACATCAGTGCCTTCTTGCACATGCCGGGTTTCTCTCGGGGTTCTGTAAACAGAACAGACAATGAAGAAAATCTGCTCGTACACGTGCGTATGAGTGTGCATGCGTGTGCTCGTAATGCTCGCTCATTACCGTCGTCGTCCACGCTGTTGGAATCCGCTTTGTGATCCCAGTCGTCCTGTTCGAGGTCAATCCTCTCCTCCGTGCGGTCCCTCAGGCTCCAGACCAGTCGGTACAGCTGGTCAAACAACACATCATTTAAAACAAATTAGTTGTGTGCAAAAGTACATTACACAACAAAGCACCTTTTGCTAAGCTTTGAAGTGAAAAGAGAACCTTGGCAGCAAACACACATTTGTATCCCAGACAAATCTGAGAGCTCGTGTTTTATTTGGTCTGGCAGAATTTAAAATGCAGCGACTTTTATGCAGTGACTGTACAAAGGAGCATCACTGAGGGAGTTTGCCAGTCAGCCAAAATGGCTGCCACTGATGTGAACTGATCTTTAAAATCTGCTTTTTTTTGGTCAGTATTTAAAAAAAGTGGATGGTATATTTTCTCAAGAAGAACAACAAAAGCCTGTTTAATTCTTCCATGGCTCAGCATTGTTGCTCTGGTCGGTTGTTGGTCTATCCAGCTGAGTCCAACGTCATTTGGTCTGTGCCCTCTGGAAATCGAAAATGAACTGAGAGATTCCAACTACTTTGGTGATGCTTGAATAATATAGTTGGACAAGTCTAAGATCCTCATTAGTCATCTTGTAAAGCAGGTCAGGAATCTGATGACAGTTTGTGTGTTTGCTTTTTTAAAAACTTTTTGCTGTTTGGTTACTTCTTTTCACTCCCATGCATGCCAACTTGGAACATGAGTGTCTTCCAGTAAACGCGTTAATGATTTATTTCGCCTTATCTGGCATCGGTCACGTACGTGCTTGTCGTCGATGGGTTCGGTCATAACAGAGACTGAGAGTATGATGATGCAGGAGATGGCGAACAGGATGATGGAGAAGTAGAGGTAGTGGACTCCACAGATGATGGTGGGACAGTTGCTGGGGTGAACACAGCTGCCTGTACCGAAAGCAAACTCAGCGATCATTCTGGCCAGGCCGATCAACAGGCCGATCACCAGGCCGACAAATGCACCCTGAAGAAAGAAAAGAAGGAGAGAAACATTGGTTTAGACGGAGACACTTGTTGTGAAACAGCAATGGTGTATAGCGCGACAAATTACATCGAATGAAAAATGACTATTGGTTATTGGCTGTAGCTCAACATATGAACTAAAAACGGGTACTTCTAATGCTTATAAGTCAACATGCATCTATTTGGTTTAAACTGTTTGGAAACCAAAGAGTGAAAAGGGTCAAGTTGTGCTTTTACATTACAGGAACCGTCCATCCATTTTCTTCTGTTTATCTGGAGTTGTAATAAAATGGCAGGAGGCTAAACAGATTATTCCAGACGTCCTTCTCCTCTATAACATTTTCCAGCTCCTCCTGGGAAATCGACATTACACATCCAGATAGGATGTGTAATCCCTCCAGGGTCTACTCTGGGGTCACCTCCCAGTTGGATGTGCCTGATAAACCTTCAAAGGAAAACGTCCAGATGCCCCCAAAACACCTCAGCTGCGACTTTTGACGTGACAACCCTTCTACGAGCTGTCTTCAGATAACCGAGCTCCTCAGCCTGTCTGTAAGGCTGAACCCCACCTTCTCATGGATAAAACCCATTTTAGCAGTCTATGTCCACGATCCTATTCTTTCAGACGCTACCCAGACTTCATGACCGAAGGTGAGGTTTGGAACATAGATCGGCAGGTAAATTGAAAGCTTCGTCTTCCTGCTCAGCTCCTTTTTCAGCACATCGGTCCAGTACAACACCTGCGTTACTGCTGATGCTGCCCAAATCCGTTTGTCCATCTTGTGTTCCATCAGTTTAGTCACTTGTGAACGAGATCCTGAGATATTTAAACTTCTGTGTTCAGTTCTACATTATTTCTTGGCCAGAAGGAGTTACCAGGCAACTAGCGGAGACTATTCCCCGAACTTTTAAGGTGCGTGTACGTTCAGACAAAGTCAAAGTGAATGTTTTCTGTTGTTTTCAGTCTAAACGCTGAAGTAAGCTAGCCAGTCTCAGCAGTAAAGTGTATTTCTACACATGGGAAGCGTAACTACATTCCCGGGGTTGTATGTTCCTTCATGCTGATGGCTCACGACTATCAGACTGAGAGTCGTATGGAAGTGCTGGAGAACCGAAAACCCTTTTGATGATTTCCCACAATCCAATGTCATATTAAGCAGATGCAGAAGTGGGGAACAAGTCTTTCAGGTTCCCATTATGCGCTATATGTAACTGGGGAACGTAGGATCCTGGAAGGGGGCATTTGTAGAACAGAGAAATGTAGGACCTTGAGACTTTGGGAATGCTTCCACCAAATTACTCTGAGGTTCTTCTATGAGGATATAATCCCCAAAAAGTTCAAACGGTACATGTGAGATTCTGTCCATCCATGAAATCACTATGTGAATATACAGATCAAATACATGTATGAAACAAACATGGTGCAGATTGAAAGACAGGCATTGCAAATACCATAACATTTAAGCTCAAGAACAATTTTCTTCTGAAAAAAACACCATTGATTTGAAGAATCAACTCACAATTTCATTGACACGTTTGCAGAAGATGGCGAGCATAAAGAGGGCTGCGACGGGTGGAGTGAGGTAGCTGGTGATAGACTGGATGTAGTCGAAGAGCTGACCGCTCTGGGCTGACTGCACCACAGGGATCCAGGCGATGCTCACACCGATCAGGGCCAAGATAAACACTCTATACACAGATGAAAAGCACATTTAGAAACAGTGGCACCAAAGAATTTAGTAACTCATATTGAACACAACCACAAAAATGTGTTTTACCTTCCAGCAATCATGAGTTCCCTCTCCTTGGCTTTGGGCCGGACCTTGGTGTAGATGTCCATGGTGAACAGAGTACTGGCGCTGTTGAAGATGGAGGTGAGGGAGCTCATCAGAGAGGCCAGCATCACAGCCAGCATGAGACCTCGCAGACCTGAAGGAGACAGAAAAACAGATTAAGAAGAGGAAAAAATTGCAAGAAGAGGTGGCAATTTGCATCTACAGCTGAAAAGACAAAAGGTTTTAAGCCACCCACCATCGGGCATGAGATCCACCACCAGTTTGGGATAGGCGATGTTGGTGCAGCCCACACTGGCACCGCAGTGGTCTAAACATTCTTTCGGGTCCACACATGCCACCACATCTAGATAGTACATGTTAAGAAATGTTTAAATCCACCATTATGTTTGTGGTAAAAATGTACATGAGTTACTATCAGCCAGTGAGTGACAGACGTCTACACACTCACCAGGATAGAGGATCCTGCTGATCATCCCGGGGAACACCATGAGGAACATGGGTAGCAGCTTCAGGTAGCCGCACAGGATGCAACCGGCCTTAACGTGAGACAGATTCTTGGCGGACAGGCAGCGCTGGACAATCACCTACAGGCGGGAAAAGATCCGTATCATCATGTAGCGCTGGTAAGCAACTGAACCCCTTTTCTAGACCCTTGTACCACACTAGTAAACTTCCTGCTACTTCATACTGTTACCTCACTACAAACATATGTCAATTACAGACTAGAGTTGTACAAATTCCTCACATATACACACACATATATATAATGACCCTGCTGCGGATTATATTGTTACAGATGTTTTTCTAGGTCAAGCGATAAGAGGATGGGGGACTTTAAGTTAATGACCTGTGCCATGTATGGAGTATTGGTTGAGTAAATGGATGGAAAATGGCTATGTTGGATTTAAAAATCACTTCCTATCTTTCAGTTCAACTCAACCTGTTTGCTGAGTGATCCTGAAAAGCAAATGATCTTCTTCTGTTGACTGACACAGCAGGGTAACTGTCACGCTTGCGTGTGCTGGATTTCATTTGAATTAGCATCTAGCTGTTCACTGAGCTCCAGCGTTAATCTCTCTGTTGCTTTCATTTCAGGATCTGGGTATTCATTAACCCTTTCCACCCAACAGGCACCTGTAGCAGGACTAGGCTGTATCTATTATTAAAAAAGCAACCTGATGCCATTTTTCAAAGGTGCCCGACTGTAGCACGTTCAATGAAGAGACTGCCTGCTGCAACTGTGTTTAAAATAATTGCAGCGTCGTTGTGCTTGATTTTGCTGTTGCACTACATTTGGTGGAGTCGCAATTGTGGTTGTATGGGAATAAAACATTTTGCTGGAGGAATTCTCAAAGTATTTCATATCCTTAGAGCCCAAGTTGTTAACTGTGGCCTCACTTTTTTATTTTTTATTTTTTAAACCTACAGCTTAAGGGTTTAAGGTCAAAATAATAGTCCTATTATTGACTCACAGCAGGCCGCTGCAGACCAGCTGAGCAAATCTGACAAAGATAAAGGCCCTTAGATGTGTGGGAATCAACCAAATCAGTCTGTGTTGCTCGTAGGCTAGTAAAAAGCTGCCACTGAATCAGCAGAAGTATCCTCACAATCAGAAGTGGCCAGACAAATGCCCAGCAGTTCTGCTCCTTCTCTTCACTGACCTGATCGGTGCACCAGTACCAGGTGGCCTGAATGGTGAGTCCAAACACCAGGCCCGGCCATGGCAGGTCTCCTGTGATCGCATCCCTGAAAATGTGGAAGGAGTCTCCCCGAGGCTCATAGCAGCTTTCGCTGATGTTAGCCGTGATGTTGGGGATGGCAGTCATGTATTTATCCTCGAAGTTTTCATAGCCACCCACCTCGTAGAAAGCTGTGGATATGAGCAAGACCATATAACAGAGGTTTTTACTTATCATCACAAACAAGACTTGTCCTGTCATAATAACTACAAAACAGAACATAAGGATAAAAAAAGAAATTATCATTTTACCGAAGCCCATGAGGATGAAAGATCCAACAACCATGATGATGGTCTGTAAGGTGTCTGTGTAGATCACAGCAGCCAGTCCACCTGAGACACAATATGTGACATCATCGATCAGCCTCAGATGTACATAACAGAACTTATTGTGCAATACTGTTAAAAACATCCTGTCTCAGAGTGATACTGAAAAACTAATTGATGAATCTCTTACTGCTATGCTGGGAAATTGCAATTCCTTATCGTCAGGATGTCCCAATAACTAAAAAAAACTGAAACAACAGGAGCAGCCTTAGTCCTGCCATGTTAGCTTCTCTTTGTTGTATTATCATTTAAAACCCTGCTTCTCACATACAAAGCTCTTGATGACCAAACTTTAAGACTTTATCGTCCCATATTTCTCTAACAGAGCGCTGTGTTGTGAGTACAGATTTACTTCTGATTCCCAGAGTTTCCAGAAGTAGAACAGGAGGCCCATCCTTTGGCTGTTAGGCCCTTCTAATGTGGAACCAGCTCTCAGTCTTGGTTTAGGGTTCAGGCACTGCCTCTGTTTTTTGAATTAGGCTAAAACTTTCTGTTTTGAACAATACAGCTCAGGTGACTCAGCCCTTCATTATGCTGCAATAGGTTTAGACTCCTGGAAGACTTCCCATGATGCATTGAGAACCCCTCTGCTCTACTCTCTTTCCCTCTCCATACAGTAATATGCCATCATTGCATGTCACTAACTTCTCTCTCCTGTAGTTTGCTCTCTCTGCAGATATGGCCTCATCAACCTCCCAGCTACTTACAGTTGTCGTATGTATTGCTTATTTTTTTCTTCTTCTTTGCCATCCTGTTCTGTCTCCCCTTTCCCCTCTCCATAACTAGTCGAGGCAGACAGCTGCCCTCCCTGAGCCTGGTTCTGCCGGAAGATGTTCCTTCCAAAGAACTCAAAGGGATTTACTGGCTTTGTTTCTGTGACATAATGCTCTGGTTTCTTCACCCTATTATGTAAGGTGACCTGAGATGACGCGCACCGTGGCGTGGTGGCAGATAAACACAACTGAATTGAACCAAAGTACTTAAAAAAAAAAAAAAAAATCAGGTTATCATATTATTATGCAACCGCTCTTTCAGTGGTCATCTTGTAAAACTTAAGTCCAATTGTGGATGGATTGTAACAGAGCAGCAACAGAAGGCCAGTTCATGCTTATCGCAGTCCATGGGTAATTAACCACAATAACACCACAGATAAACTAGCTCTGAGGAAAGATAGCTGTTGTGTGTGTGTGTCTACATATGGCCTTGACAAGACTTTAACCCCCAGTCATGGTGCCATTTACGCAGATAAGACTTCTGGCTCTAGTTTATGAGCAAAATATGTAAGATCGGTGTAAAAAGGAAGCAAATTCACCCTGTGGACAGACCTGTGACAGTGTACAGTGCAGTGATTAGCAGCAGCAGGACAACAGCAAGGTAGATGTTCAACTTAAGAGCCTGGTTGATAAAAATGGCGCCAGAGAACATGTCTGCCTGAGTGGAGAGGAAAAACAATGCGTCACTTTAGCCAATAACATCCAATAAAGGCACAATGTTGACACGGGAACAGTCGTGGCAACTTACTGAGATCTTGGTGAAAACATAGAGGAACAGGGAGAGCACAGAGAGATAGATGCGAATGCGGCTTCCTCCGAACCTCTTCTTCAGGTACTCGGGCATGGTGACCACCTGGAAACATCGACAACTTGTTATGCTTCACTCCACTTTGCTTGACTCTTCTTTGAGTGCACATTTAGATTAATAAATATGTACATGCATGGAGAGTTTTTAAACCAGCATGTGGCCTGAGTGTTCTGCTTACCCCAGCTTTAATGTAGATGGGCACAAAGAGCCATCCCAGAATGACGACAACAATAAGAGCCTGAAACCCACAAACAAACAAACAAGGAAACAATCAAATAAATAAACAGCTTCCTTCCAGCCTACGCAGGGTGAAACTCCGTTGGTAATCTTTGGACCATCAGCTCACCTGAGATAGCCGACCTCTGTGTCACAGGTTATAAACACATTTGTGTAACAATTGATAACAAACACTCACGTTCCATTCAAAGCCACCGATGGCTATTCCTCCAGCTGCAGCAGTGCCAGCGATTCCCACGAAGTGGCCGCTGCCAATGTTACTGGCAAAGAGTGACGCTCCGATCTGTGGAGAGCGCAGTCAGATAAGTTAGTGATGTGTATTATTTCTACTTTTTTTTTGTTGTTGTTGTTGTGCTTATGGAATTGGTTGAAGTATTCTTTATTGAATATTAAAATCTGATTATGACTTTATGGTATGAGCGGGCACAGGAAGCACCTCCATTATGGCAAACAGATTTTATATTAGCCATTAACACAAAATTATCAGTGTGTTCCTCATAATGCCACTCCTTGCAAGAAGATTAATAAAAGAATAAAAACAGAGTTGTAATAATCTTAGCAGGTACCCACCGGCCACCACACCATACTCCTCCCTGCAAGGAAGTAGCCACCCACAGTGGACCGGTTGGTGCGGACCATAGCCTGGAACAGGACGATGGGACATTTTAGCATTTTAGCAACACACACTACTTTCATCTGTCACATTTGCTGCATCCCCCCCCCCCCTCTCTGTAACAATGGTCAGCATAGGAGATGAAAACAACAGAATCATTGCACACAACTTGAAAATCAAACAATTCTGCTCACAAATAAATCTAATTGACAGAAATATGCAAACTTTGAATTGTTAAAAAATAAAGTGATCTGCTGTAAAACAATCAGGAAACAGGTTGCTAGGTAACATGCTGTGATTGCACAACATCGGTCCATTTGTGTCTCATTTACTTTAGTGCCGCTGTAAAAGATCTACACAAAGCCTTTGCTGCAAAACGTTAGGATGCCTCTGATTTATCCACAGTTAGTCTTTACCAACATATAAATCACTTTTTGTTTCTGGTTAAAAACAGACAGAATTAAAGTTCTTAGATTAAATCTTAGCTGTAAATTGTTGAGGTTTTCTTAGTAAAACAACTTATAGGTGTGAAGCTGTCGTGACTAACAGAGAAAAAAAAAAGATTTAAACAATTGCAAACTGAAGGATCAGGCAACTCACCCATACTCCGACACCCAAGACAACCAAGAAGTAAATCACGATAACTGAGATATCGGCTGGATTATTGATGGCGATTTCCCCTGTGTCGTTTTTTGCCGTCTTACGTATGTAGGAGAATCCGAAATAATCATATTCTTGAGTCATTTTGCCGAGAGGAAGAGCAGAGGACAGGAGTGCGGCTTGAGTCGGTCGTCTCTGACTGGAGAAACTGCACACCGACACTCACCTTTATACCTCTGGGCAGTGTGTGTGTGTAGGAGAGAGAGAGTGTGTGTGTGCGCATGTGTGTGTGTGTGTGTGTGTGTGTGTGTGTTTGTGAAAATTAATGGAAAAGAGGAAAGCTGGTGTTGGTCTAATAAATGACCATTATTTTGTTTGGTTGTAAGTGGATGCCCAAATGTGTAACATATGAAGGTTGATGTGGAAATAAACGTGTTAAAAAGTGTGATTGTTTTTTAGCAAATGGTGTCGTTAATCATCAACCTACAAGGAAATACCAGAAACAGAAGCACTGGTGTTCATGTAAAACAAACAGATGAACTATTCATTGTTCAGTTCAGTTCAATTTAAGTCACTCCAGCTTCATTTAGTTCAGTTCAATCCATCCATCATCT